ATTCAGAGGGTTTCTTTCTTGTTCTTGTTCGGACAGTCTCGTGTAAATGTGTAAATATGTAAGCTTTTCAAGAGTCAAACATGTTATTAAGTTTTTCAGCCATAGTCCAATGGAAGAGCAATTGGTATTTTTTCCAGCACAGGACAATAGAACGTTTTGCTTGTAATAGGCACAAATCCACCAGCTTTCTTTCTTTAGTGGACAAAAAGCAATTGTCTTCATACATACAGTACTCAATAAACACATTACAGGACATAGAGGAATTGGAGAGGAAGTAAATTGAGAAACATATTGAGTAACCCCAACCCAAAACTTCTGCACCTCCTCACATTCCCACAATACTTCAGTATTTTACAGTATTATAGCAATGAGAGTCTAATGAGGACCATAATAGTGTATAACATAAATTTATAGTGTATAACATAAAAAGTGCAACATCTACATTATAGTAATGTGAATGGGGGCACAGTACATGATCATAAACTACAGTGTGTTTGTTTTTTGGAGAGTTTGGAGATGTTTTAATGCTTTTGCTTCACTGTGCGATTCTCAGTTAAACACATGCTAATACACATGTAAGATTTAGTGACTGATTGACTCATTGTCAGCTGATCAGACCTGCCTACCAATCATGGTATGTGGTTGCTGCAAGGGTAATTTATCCTTCTGAGGTCAATCAAACCCTGTTAAATCACTTGGTTCTCTGTATGGCTGCATTAACACAGCTGTCATGAGATACACAAAACTGCCCTTCATTTGACCTTAATCACATAACTTGCTTTTTATACTTGTCTTCATAAAGGCTTTCACTGTCTGTCACAAAGTGGAATCCACACTCTTTATGCTGACTAAGTGCTGACCATTGCTCAACATGGACTTAATGCATTCTTGTGCTGCAAACATTACGTCCTCCTGCCCTATGCCCTGGTCAGAACATGTCAGGGAGGGATTACATGACATTTTATTGTGAATGGACTTTAGCATCCTGACAATTCAGGGTTAGTGATGCACTTACACTTTCACCTAGAACCATCACAACAATATTCACCTAGATTTTCACTTGAGGTAAAATGGTTACTATAAACATTTACATTCATTTAGCCAGTAATGGTCTGGTTACTGAAATATAAATAATAAATTTTCAAAAGTAACTATGGTAAATCTCTGTAACACTGATCAATTTACAGTTTGTTTTTTAGAAGACAATGATGTAATACATTTTGTGTATTACTCTAAAACAATTAATTAAACAATAAGGGACAGATTTCCTAACAGCTTGTGCAAACACAAACCCTCTTTTGGTGTTAAATAACTACTGCCTAATTTTTCAAGCAGTAAACATTTAGCAACAGTTATTTTTGCAGCTGACCTTATGTCTTATGAATTTGCAGGAGTTTCATTTAGAGACACAAAATTGATGGGAGAACAGTGTTTAAAATGCAACAGTATTTCGTAAGGTTTGCGGTAGACAATTTAGTAGTATTTGCGGCACGATTTAACGCCCAAAAAAGCATGTCTTTACCCCCTTTGCACTTGACATTTGCTGCCACAGACAAGAGAGATGTGAGGTAAAAGAAAAAGATTTTTCTCCACACATGTTAATTTATTTGGAATGCTGGAGAACAACATTGGTAGGCCATCGGACAGCCCATCTTAGTGTTGACCCTTCTTCATCTCTGGTTCTATTTCTCAGATTTCTCTTCTAACCTAGTTGCTAGTTCGGACAGTCTCATTATTAACGACTCTGGTTTGCCACTGACTTTGGTCCAAATTTGCACTTTGGTGTTTTAACTGCATCACTCATTCTGACCCTCCTTTTTGCCTTCATCTTCTGAATAGGCTCAGTTGCTGTCTGGACTGCTTCCCTGGACTTGGACCTTTGCCTGGCTTTCAAGACCCCTTTGAATTTGACTTGCTGTTGAAGTTCTGCTCAGAACTCAGTCTTTTCAGTTATTATTTGTCAGTAAAGCCTTGGTTCAGCATGTATCTGCTCTTGGGTCCTTTTTTTCCTGAAATCCTGGCATTGCTATGCAGGTGGTAAGTGGTTGCTTTCTGGCCCAAGCCAATAAAGCCAAACTCCATTGTGGTCTTTGTGATATTGTGGTCTCTGAATATGATTTGGGTTCCTACTTTAGCAACCCAAATCATATTCAGAGACCACAATATTCTAAATCTAAGCACTAAACACTAAGACTAAAATGAAAGAGTAAGCATGAAGCAAGACACAAAAACACAACTAAACAAGACATAATCCTGACACTACACCCATTCTCTCACAAGGCACATCTTCACACTGTTAACAACAGTCCAACGGTGGATGGTGGGAGGGGGCTTTGGAGGCAGACAGAAGTGAGACATCAGACGAAGACGTAAGGTAGATGAAGGAACAGGAGGAGCCAGGAAAGGGGAACACTATGTCGATTTGTGCTACCCTGTCAGATATTGCTACCTCCCATTAAATCAGTAGATAGTACAATTCGACAACAAAAAATGCTACCTGTCA